ACAAACAAGAGCACTGGTAACAGCCAAAGAAATGATTGCACGATCTGAAATCCCTTGCTGGGTATGACAGCCCTTGACAACTCCTGAGTCATTCAGCAGTGAGATGAAATGCAAACCCAGGTAAGGTAAAACTCATTTACTTTAAGGCTTATGTATTAGAGGGTCATGGAATAGAGGTATCATGTTGCACATGAAGTGTTTTGCACCTTGTTGAAGACTGAATAGGAGAACCTAAATAAGAATAGCTTGTGTGGGTAATACAAAACTATTTCCTGGGTGGGGGATGGGAAATGCCTTAAAGAGACTTAGTAATACATGTTTTGAAGTTTAACTGAGACACAAAAATCATTATTTAGAGAACAATATTAAAGTTATCATCTCATATTTGCTTCACGATGAAGACGGGCTTCTTGCACATTCCAGATAGGTCGCTCTCCCCCCTTTTCCACATTGTCCTTAAGCAAAGCCAAACGACTTGGAGAATATCTGATGCCTCCAGTATCTGTCCTGTGAGAGTTCTAGAAGCTTCTCTTCTTGTTAAAGCGATTTCTTCTGCTGAAGAGTCAGTTCTTCAGAATTGTACATCTGAAGAATCAATTCTTCCTGAAAAATCAATCAAGGTTGGCAAGCAGCTCTGGCACATTCATTTCCAGAAAATGTTGCCCACAGAAGGCTTCTTGGATTCCAGTTATAAGCAGATAAACACTGAAGCCATTTACAGTTTTTCAAATAACCTTCCTTCATAATGGGGGAGCACTTGGCTTTAGTATTTGCAGTATTTGCAGAATAAAGTGATGTTGATGCTGAAACATCATGCAGGGGAGGGCATTAATATCTGTGTTATGTACCCTCTCAACTGTAAGCTGACTCCTGTTGTTAGACATAGAATAGTAATACAGAAAGGATTTCTGTGCTCAAAAATTGCAATGACAAACAGTTCACGGATCCTGAGTTCCTCTGTATCAAACAGTAAGGTCTATGGCAGGTTTTCAGTAATGTGTTCACCTGCCAGACAACACACAGGACTGGTGTCAGAAAACTTAGCAAAAAATAAGTAGCTGAAGTGATACACTCAAACCTCCTGAAGCTGTTCATGAAGTAGGATAGGAAATGTGGGTGCTGTTGAGCATGCTGACTAACCCATGCCGTTGCCAAAACAAATGGAAGACAACTGTAATGGCTTTAGAGGTGGGAGGGAAAATGCTTGTTTAGACAGTGACAACCAGACATCAATGCTGTCCTGTCCGCAAGCTCTTCTCTAGTTGCACAAGACCCAGGAGTATATCTGAGGATCAGGAAGCTAGAGCTGCTGGATCTTCAGTTCTCGGAGTGCTTCATCCCTGCAGAACTGAAGAGCAATGATGTGGGAGATCCCTCCAACAGAAGTGAATGTCAGAGGAGGAAACACCCAGAATAGCAGCCCATGGATTTAAAGAAAAAGCACCAAAAGACAGAAAGAACTTTCTTCCAAGCCAATGTTTTCCATTCACAAAAATTCAACGAACCCATTTTTCAGGTTTTGCTAACTACTGTTTAACTGTGGTCTCTTTGGAAGCATGTTGTCTTGTCTTCTAGGTTGTTTTGAAGCACCTTGTGTCATAATTCCCTCTGAAAAAAAAAGGGTATTAGACTAAAGCAATTAGCAATCTGAAAAATAGTCACTGTACTTAAAACTCCCACTGCAACTGCTTAAAAGATAATCTCTTAAAACTATAACAAGTCAGATAATAAGCCTGCACAACAGGGCTGAGTTCTAAAGCAAATACACACATAGGGTAACGTTGTAATAATGTCAGGTGAATAGTGCTGAAATACAACACTGGGTGAAAACTGGTTCATACAAATCAGACTGGTTTTGTCTAAATAAACAAGTGTTGCCTTTTCCCTGCCCTTCATTATTAGGTAGCTCAAGCCTTCAGCCTGTGCTGGATACACTTTGTGGCTGACCTAGTTGCAGACCAGCTAAGTCAGGAGGGTACCTCTGATTCAACCCCCTGCTTGGAGCAGGGTCAGTGACACCAGGGCCATGAGTATCTTGAGAAATCACAACCTTTCTGAGTAACCTGCTCCTGTTTGTGACCACCCTGAGTGTAAAACAATGCCTTGCTTGAATGGGATTTCCTGTGTGTCAATTTGGATCAGTTGCCTCTTGTCCTGCCACTGGGCACCACTGAGAAGGGTCTGGCTTCATGGCTGCCTTACTGCCTGCATCAGGTATTGATACCTGAGCTCTCTCCAAGCTGACCAGTCCCAGATCAATCAGCTTCTTCCATATGACAGGTCTCCAGTCTTTTAACTCTCTGTGGCCTACTGTAGGTCTATGTCTCTCTCATGCTGGACCCAGCACCCCAGATGTACCTCACCAGGGCTGGTTTTAAAGAGGGTCACCTGCCTTGACCTGCTGGCAATGCTCTGCCTGATGCAGCCTAAGGTGCTGTTGGCCACCTTTGTAGCAATTGCTGCCTCATGTTTAACTTGGTGTCCACCAGGACTCCCAGGATTTTGTCTGCAAAGCTGATTCCCAGCGGGTTGGCCCCCACCATGTCCCAGTGCCTGGGGTTGTTCCTCCCCAGGGGCAGGGGTTGCCACTGCCCCTTGTTGAACTTCATGTTGTTCCCGCCATCCCATTTCTCCAGTCTGTCAAGATCCCTCTGAGTGGCATACAAAAATCATTTTGGCAGTGTGCCTGTTCCATTTCTGAGATTTTAAGGGTTGCTATTCATTTGCCTACCCTTATCTTTAGGACTAACAGCTACTGCTTCCATGAATGCCAGTTAATTCTCATAATTTAAAAAATTCAAAAAAAGTACTGGCCCTGTGCTGCAGCTCATAATGGGGCAGCATTCCAATTGCTCCAGACATAGGATTCTTTAGATGGAAAGAGTACGGCTTGGATGCTAACACAGACATGCAGACAAGAAACTTTCTTGTATAGAGTTCCAGCAACAGACTAGACACTATATTAGCTTTCATTGAACAAAACTTTTCACATAGAAATTTTCGATACTGATTACATTAATAAAGTTCTAATCTCATTATATTCCATCCTGATGAATCCTGAAATTTGAGCATGCCCTTGTGCAGCATGGCTAAGGGCCAGGCTGTAATTTTGCCATGTGAAAGGAAGACACAGGAGTTTCAGGAGCAGTGGGAGAAGTCTGATATTAAGTAATAGCGTATTAGCAAAGGCTGCTGTGCTGATATGATATTTAATTGCCTCCTTTTCTGGGGGTGGAGTCGGGTGTGTTTCTGACTGACACAACTGATTTTGATACAGGGGACTAAAGACTATGGATAAAGGCCATATCCTTGGTATAATTAGGCCGCACTAGATGTGCAGAATTGGGAGCTACAAAGAGATGAACAAACAAGAACCAGGCATGCACATATGTGCCCTTCACATATATACCTACCGCCATGTTTCTTTATTAAAATAACAGGAATACCTTATGCTGCTGTCTACTGCAGTGGGATTCAAGGCTTTTGGGTAAAACCTGTGTTACAACGGTGTCTTTCTTGTCGTTTTACTTGTATTTTCCTGCTTTTTCCTGAATATGGAGGCACTTGAGGAAATGTAACTTTTAATTGCATCCTTGAAACAGAATATATCATTGAAAAACAGAGGGCAGTACTGCACATAGGCAATGTGTGTATCTGAGCAAGTTGTGGCCTGTGTCTATAACACTGAAAGAGGGAGCTCTCTTGTTTAACATGTGTCAAAGTACACTGATACCTCAGGTAGAAAACACTGATGAAAATGCATCTGAGAGAGAACATGCAAGAATAAAACAACATCTTACATCAATTTATTTGTGGTATTTTAATACCAAGTTAATGCATTTCTCAAGTAAAAATTTAGAAATCGGTAATTTATAGAAAAAAAAATAAATCACAGCTTCACAAAAAGCTAATTTTCAACAGTTTGTCCCCTTCCTGCCAACATGCAGTTTACAATATAGTTCAACTATGTTGGTAGAAAGTTAACAGTGGTGTGAAATACTTAAAAATATTTGCAACAGCAATTGAAAATAAAATTATGATTTTTACTCAGTGAAAAACGGACAGGAATTGTGTTTCCCAGTAAAAGATAAGTCAGGAAAGCAGCAAACCCCCCTTCTCCTGCTTACTATGTGCTACCTTTCCCCCTGCCACATACACCATCAGCAAAGGCAAAACTTCAACATCAATCATTCTCAGATTCAATACTTCATTGCTTTTGGCAAGAGGTCATACTCGGAAGTCCACTGGTTGAGATGTGTGCTGCTCTCTTCCTATGTGCTCCAAAAGCTGCTGTTACTCCTGCCCCTTAGGGTGAGGTGGGATCAGCAACAGCTCAGAGTAAAGGTAAGGAGTATAAAGATTTTCATGTTTATTTTTCACTCTTTCTCTCTAGCAAAAACTGGGAAACCCAGAAATTGTAGTTGTCACACCTCACATTTGAGTATTTACAGGAGATGCAGGGTTTCAATGAAGTTGTTACATTTTCACCTGTGCACAAAAATTCCCTCTGTTGAATTTATACAAGCAACCACAGGATGAAAAATGTTCCTTCTCTACCTTTTGAATTAAAAGTCACATTTTCAAAGGTCATTGCACTTGGTAATAGAAAGGCAATTATGCATTTTACATTAAATATATTATACAGACCTGAACTTCTGTGCAATCCATTGCTTCAGACATATGTATATTTAACAACTTTTTAAAAACTAAGCCTCTAAGCATAGTTTAACAACAAAAAAAAAACAAAACAAAACAAAATGAACTTTGCTAAAGACTATTTCTTTTTAAAGACAAAACTCTTTAAGAACAAACACACATAGAGAAACGCTCCCTTTGACTCCTAGTGCATTTAAACACACCTTTGAAATTCTTTGTGTTGTTCCCACATTTAACCTCGCTATCATTCTATACAGATCTGATGATACTATACAAGGACACATTTTCTCTGACCTAACCAGTAAGGCTGGCATTTGTCATGCTGTTGATACAAAGAGGAAAGCTGAAGATAAAATGATTTATTGCCTCACTCTCTTACCTGTGGAGGGCAAAAAGTTTCAAAGGGGATGCAACTCAATTGTGATGCACATTGCCCGTGAATTCCAGTGGCCCATTTCAGGTGTCAAGTGCACTTTAGGTTGCCCCAGCAAATTTCGCAACAACTTGCTATTAAAACTATGGATGTGAAAACTAAAAGGGAGATTTTGGTCCCTGAGATACTACTAAATGAGACCAAGAACTAAAGCACTAATATTTAATTTGAAGTGGACCCTCTTTAAGGAAAACTAAGTTAGCTTCAACTTTCAAAAGTTTAGTGAATAGTCACTAAAATATCCTTAAGCAGGATGACAGAATGTATGCAGTATTGATCAAGAGAAGTGCATTGTACACAGTAGAAGTTACCAGTTGCTGAGGGCCAAGAAGCTGTCCTATCAAGACGTATCAAATTTGTCTTTCCAACTAACAGAAAAGCGCAAGAATGTAAAACATGGCCTTAACAAAAACACCTACTTACTCCTACCTCTTTTAAAGGAACAGCTACAGGAACTACTGTCTTAAATACTCATAAGGGGTAAACTGACTACCTACAGAAGCCAAAACAAACTTTAAACTTTGTAACTGATCATTTCAACAGTACTCTGCGGACCACATCAGCAACCTCTTCATCGCCAAACTGGTGGTGGTGTGCAACAGGCAACATATTTTGAGCTAGTGTTTAAAAGGTTTGTACCACTGAAGGTGTTTCAGACCAGTGGTCACTACAATGAAAAATCTTTGGCAACCATAGACATATAAAAGGTAATTCATATCAGGTGGAAGAATTGCTGTGATGTTTACAAAGTTCTTTAGTGCATCATTAACCTTCTGCAGTGTGCTGTATAAAGAATCAAAACCCTGAAAGGACAGCTAAACATCTGACATTACTCACAATTTGCAGTGTTTTTTGTACCCACTTTCTCAAAGCTAGGCCTTGTGAAATTTTAGAGGACGATGTGAGATAGTCGATGCAAAGGCCTCCAGTGCAGTTGGAGTTGATGGGGAAGGGAGCAGAGCAATGAAGGGCTGAAGACTTATGTTTCAGTGTATCATTGGGATATCACTCAGAGAATGGCAACAGATGGATTCATGAGTGGATTTAGTCATACAAAAAGTATAATCACACCGGTGGTGGAATCTCTTCAGACAACAAAACAGAAACAAACAAAAAAAAAAAAATCAGCTGCATCCAGAGAGTCCGCTAAGTGGTCTCAATTACCATTACCTTAAACAAGAAAGAACATGCATTAGTAACATAGATTTTATTCTAAAACATTAAGAACACTCTAACACAGCTGAGCTATAAGAAGAATTCAGTATAATAACCTTTTTCTTTTTCCAGTTAATGCAATTAAAAATTAGATGTATCTTGTGACATCAGATAAGCCAGCACTTACATGTGTGGTATGTGAATATAGTAGAAGTGACCACACACGGTGGGTAAATTTTTAACAAGTACAAGAATTGATGGAAGGTACTCTAAGCTTATATTTTTCCTGAATATGAGCTCAGCTTTCCAAAATTTGTAAACTATTATTGCAGCTAAGGCTTCCTTAAGGACCCTTCCAACCCGAAGCATTCTATGATTCTATGAATGCAGTAAGTTCAGTTCTAGGAACCTGTACAACTGCATAGTGATCCCTATGTGTAAACTAGCATGCAATTTGGCAGTAACTATCACAGCACAAGAAACTAAAAAGGAAGAACAGAATCTTTAAAAATAATCCTAAAGGGTATTTAAGCAGGAATAATGTAGTAGTATTATCAGCACTGACATCTTGTTCTGTGACAATGAAGTCAAAGAACTTTCTACCCCAGATGTCACGTAAGGTCTTGTACATAGCAAATCCCCACTTACACCTCACTTGAAAGATGTCAATTTAAGCATGCAAAGGCATTTCTTTTTAGTGTAATAAAATATAGCATCACTTTCAGATAATTCCCACCCCCAAAAGGTACAGCTACAGCTCTCATGTCCACTTCCAAAACTACTATGAAAAAACCTAACAATCTTAGCATAAGGACTCCAGTTGCTATACACAACTTGCTTTAATAGCGAAATAAAACAAAATATTGGCCATTTCTCCCCTGGGAGAGAAGAAGAAAGAAGATTATAAAATAAGGTACAAGTAAATGAGCCAATTTTAATGAAGTCATGAAATGTTAACATGAAATGCAGTATTCTTCATTTTCAGTCATCAGGTGCTGCATGAAAAGACAGTTAGTTTAGTAATTCTGTAAATGGTTTTTTGCCATGTTAGTGTTCTCTGTTCTGCCACAGCAGATTCTTCCTTCACATTTCAGTAACTGTTAAATCATGTCCCTACCCTACAGAGACACGCTCAACAACAACAGCACTGTTGCCATGCAAGACTTACTGCTGTTTCAGCACATGAAGGATGAATTCAATCCTCCGTAGATTCAATCCTCAAACTTACTAAACTGATGACTGGGTTGGAGATCCAGTGTTTCATTAAAAGATAAAAAATAACAAATTAATTAATGGTGCTCCTGTACTGAATTAGAAGGCAAGCCTGGTCAGCTAGATCCAGCTTTTAAAAGCAAAAGGATATTTACCAGAGCAAACAACTAAGTGGGAAGCAGCCCTGCTCCAACCAGCAACACAAATTCTGTTTATCATGATCTACCCTAACACACAGCTGAGCAAAACTACAACTTCTACATAGCATCACCGGTGGTATTCCTTTTTCAGACATAATTTTTAAAACAATTCAGAGCTGGAAATTTCTGCCAACTTCTCCTGTCCCCAAGCTTACCATGTAAATAATATACCAACATACTGGTATATAAAGTAACTCTAGTGGTGTATATAATAATTATATATATACATCTTTTATCAATGTACTGTTATTAAGTTACTGTTATCTGAACACAGCTGCAAAAATGGGTTCTGAAGGCTAGAGTGACTTGATATGAGTATGGCTTCCACTTGTGAGCCAGAAAGGCGTTCATCAGCTTAGGGAAGGGAGGAAAAAAAAAAAAGTTTATGGGTTCCAGCAGCGCAAGTTTAGATATTTATATGCAGGTTACTGATTAGTTGTTTTAAAAAAGCAATAAACCCAGAATTTAAGTTGCTTGTCTGCCCACTTAACACTGAACTTATTATTTTAGGTATCCTCCATGTGGTGAAGACCCTGACCTGGAATTAATATTCAAATTGCTGAGTTCAGCTTGTTAAAAATTTACCCACTATTCACAGCTGGTTTTATTTTATTTTTCATAATCAAGACTGTTCTCATTCACAGACACATTCCAGAGTTAGTAAATCAATGTCAATCCATTTGTTCAGGTTGATTTTTGCCTAGCATTTGTTTAATTTGTTTTTAGTTCTCCTACAAGCTCAGACAGTGTCTTCCCATGCAAGAAAAATTACAACTGAACAGTTAATTCAGGCTGAATGAGTAGAAACAAAATACAAACACATCATCACAGGAGCATGCTAGAGTCCTCAATTGTCTGCTTAATTAACAGTCCCCCCACCCCCTCCCGCCAAAACCAAAACAAAGAAAACTAAACCACCCCCCCAAAAGCTTACTAAGCAGCAACAATGACTATACTGTAAAATATTTTATTTGTAATGAAATTATGAAACACAACAATAAAGAACAAATGACACCACCATATAAACTTCCTTTTCTTTACCATAAGAATTTCTTAATGAAATATCTTACTTCTGGCATAAGTAACTAACACTGTCATCCATATTAAGAACTTTTAACATAAAAGACATGAATAGGTTGAAGATGCATCTTCACTGCATATGCACACAGTTCCTTTCCCCAGTTTTGCAGATAGGCCTTTTAGGGTCTCTTCTGTTTACACAAAATGAATTCATTTATCCATCAAGAGCAAAGTACAAAAAGTATATTGTATAGATTTAGCAGATGAAGATTTCTAGCCATACAATATTTTCAAGGGGATGAGAAAAATGAAAGAGGTACTTGAAGCCTTTCAAGGACAGAGGAGAAGTTTTCATTTTATTAGAACAAGAGCCTCAAAATGATTTTAAATGTTATGAGAAGAAGTACAGGATAAAGGATGGAACCTTATTCTAACTGCAGTGCACGCTGTAATTCAGGCAGTGCAAAATTCTGCTCCAACCTATATGCCTTTTATAAACTGTGTACGGTCCACATAGCTAGACAAACGAAGGGAGAGTTCAAGGTTTCGTGTGCATCAACAACTAAGAATTTCATGGCACATGAGGATGAATTCGGCATTCACTTGGTTCCCGTAGGCATCTAATTCACACCATCAAACACTCGTGTGCATGAACAACAAAAAGCATCATTTTTGCTAAAAATAAATAGATGGAATACAAAACCCCCCAACACTTGATCTAGTGTAGATAGCTTTTAAAAGGTTCTAGTTCAAATAATAACTAACCTGAGATGTACTTTGCTCCGATTAACATTATCATGCTACTCATAATATAAAGACCCAAAGGCAGACTAGAGAAGATACTACTGTCACCTGATGTCATCCAGGGTAGGGTGTATCCAGTCAAGCAAATCAAAAGAGAAATATATATACATAAATTGCAATGTATGAGTTAGAAATCATATGAACAGCAAAACGTAATAAATGTAGTGACATTTTCAGAAAAACTAAAAAGGATTATTTATACTCCCCACAATAACTCAAAACAGTCTCTCAGTATAAAAGTTGAAATCCAAATTCCATTGTTAGCACTACCTACATTGAGCCCATTTTAGTAGTCTTCAATGTTCAATACTCTCAGCAAGCAGAACACAGTTTCAAAGCAAGAACTAAGGAAAATAACATTTCCCATAGTGTTAAATAAAATGCTTAAACCAACATACAGGATGGTGAAAGGAAAATTTTAGCTTTAGCTTTCAAGAATAAAAGAAAGAGAGTTCATGCAGCATGAGAGCTTTATCTGTGGATTGTGGGGGGAGTTTACATTCTGAGGATTCTTAACACTTTTCATTCTAACAGGTTTTCCAACAGAAGGGAAATTTAATTAAGATAAAGCCATAAATGATGTGTTGTAGGATGATTCAGGACAAAAATCTTATCCTGAAATAGTGCTGAAATATAAGTTCAAATTATAGATAATAGAAGACTGCAGGTTTTATTTAATTCAAACCTGACAGATGAAAACCCTGTCTACTTCCAAAGAAAGAACTTGTTCAGTCCCTCAAAAGTGTTTGGTATATTCTCTGTGTGTATAATAGGACTATGCAATTCTTCACTTTATGACAACTTCTTGCTCTTAGCCCTTGTGGGGCAAACAGATTTTGATGTGGCTATCAATCCCTCCTTCCCATACAGCAAATAATAAAGGCAGGATATATCAAGAAAAATCACAGGATGAACCTTTTCTCCTCTGCAGCATGATGTTTTAGTGTAAGAAAGTTTACAGAATACCTGCACTGTCTTAGAATTGTGCTGAATCTCTTCCAGGTCACTTTTTTTTTGTTTTTTTTTGTAAATCAATGTCATTCTGCAAAACCTGTAGTTAGCCTTGATTTCATGTCCTCTGTTTTCAGAGCCCTACAAGATATTGCTTGTGCCCTCCTTTCAAGAAGAAGACCTACCTATCAATATTCCTGCTTTGTTTGTACAGTGGTTTTAAGTAGTAACTTTTAAATCACTGGAATAAGGTCAAAAGTACCATAGAGATGGTATGAACAGAAAGAGTAGATTAACTACCAAGGTTAACGGGCTAATTAAATAATACTTGACTAGCATTAATTTGTGGTTTACCATTTGAAGAAATGTCAGATGTCACCCAGTCCATAGATTTCATTACAGCTTTCTTCCATCTGGCAAAGCGAAACTCACTTTCTGAAATTAAGAAATCAAAAAACAGAATAGCCTCTCAATGCATATAAATACAACTAGAAGTATTTAAGAATCAAAGACTACAATATTAGTTTTCCACTCTTTTGCACAGTATAGTTTGTCTGCAGAGAACAATAAGGAATAAAAAAACAAAACCAAAACAACCCAAAGCCCCCCAGTTATGCACAGTAAGGAAAAATAAACCTTAAAACCAATTCTCTGCATTTCCACAATAAGAAGATTTACAAGTAGGACAAAATGAAGCAATTGCTATTCAAGTAGAAGCCCTTCAGTTTTGAAAAAACTGTCTTGAAGTAGGGATTATAGCAGTAATTATAATCAATGATAAGGCAAAATTCTGCACTAGAAGTTAAGAAATAATTTTAAAAGACAAAAACGCATTTGTCTTGCACACGGATTAATTATGTCAAGTACATGCTTTCCATCTCTAAAGCACTTACGAACTGATGAAGAAGATAGTTAGCTAAAAAATAGTGATTAATGTAGGCCTTTTAAAGTCAAAAGAAAAGTGTCCCAAAACCAGTAAAAACTCACAGATGCACAGGAGCTTTAGGAGACATCTTTCTCCATAAAAATTTTTCAAACCTGCAAAACCTTTGATTCTACTTGCTAGAAATCAAAAGCTACTAACTCCAATGCCCAGTGCCAAGCTTCTTTCAAAATAAAGAAAGAAGAAAACCCCAACATATTCCCCTGTGGAGTTATGGCATTTTAATCATTTGCAATCTTACTAGTGAATAAAGGGACATAACAGCAACTGAAACACACTTTTCTCTAAACTGAACACTACAAAAAAGCTCATCTTTAACATTTGTGAGGATATTCATATATAGCTGGTTTTATATCAGTATGTTAGACTGCAACAAAGCAAAAAAACCACTAACTGCTGGACATAGAGCATTAAGTTTGTGATTTCTTAGGTAATATGAAAGGATTTTACCCTCTGGGTTGATCTGTGGCTCAAATCGTTCACATGTCACTGCTGTCAAATCTCCAGGATTCAGACTCCAAATTCCAACTCCTTCTGCAGCTCCTGCTGCCATAGCAGCTCCTAGAGCTGTTGTTTCAGGCATTGATGGCTTTACTGAAGTAAATCACAGAGAAAGCCATGAAGATTTTTAATGAAAATCACTTTGATGACATTGGAACTAAAGATTTACATATATATCTAGAACGATATAACAGCTATATGCTTACTTTAAGTTTAGCAACTGCAAGCCTCATTTTATTACAGTTCACACAGTTATGAGGCTAATTTCAACCAAAGTCATCGGAGTCTTTGAAATATCTCAGATCACTACTTCGTTTAAGACTGCTTCATGCAATTGCCCATTTTCACACCACATGCAGGGCTGCTGACCTCAACCATCAGTTTCCCTAGAGTGCTCCTGTTAATAATACACTATCTTTTTATCTTCTCCCTCCCTTCTAAAAGCCGTGGTTGCTGGCTAAGTTACCAGTCTTGTTCCCATGTTCTAGATATTGTGTTATTAAAAGCATTTATATTAAGAAAAGGCATCTTAAAAGAGGCTACAAATTGCTGTATTACTAGCTTGTTTGCCTTCCACAGATATGACCATCCCACCCCCAAGATGTTGATGTTAACTCTGCTCCATTAACTCCAGAACTGCCTGCTTCTCTGCTTAAGGCAGAGGATCCTTTAAAATCTGATTCTATTAACTGTATCATTTCATCTGCTACGAACTTTGGCTCTGTACTGAGAGCATGAGCCTTGTGTACTACGTATTATTAAAGGCAAGCTATAAAACTTCTAGAGTTAAAAACTTTCCAGTGAAATGTCTCATATTTATGCATAAGAGACAACACGTTTTTTTTAATTATTTTCTAGAAGCTGCATATGAGGCAGATTATTACATTTATCCAGCAAATTATCAGTCTTCAGTACAGACAAAGATGTATAATATCCTGATGTTACTGTGCAATGTCCTGATGTGTAGTGACACATTAGCCATGACAAATCAATGTTTTTTTCAGCTTTAAAAAGTGAATAGGAGTTGTAATTTCATCTTACCTACTGGAATACAGAGAATGTCTGACTGGAGTTGCATGAGGACTTTATTATTGGTCATTCCTCCGTCTACTTGTAACTGATTTAGTGGTACCCCACAGTCCTTGTTTATGGCATCTAAAAGCTTAAGTAAAAGTAATATACGTTATTATTTAATTGCAGAGAAATCTATGATACCCTCTGAGTGTAAATTACTGATAATTCAGTATTTGCTGAAGGGTGTTAAGTAGATAATTCCTCTCCCCTATAGATCAAAATGGCAAAAAGCAGTAGTGACGATACAGTTTTGCTTAATGTACAGCAAATGCATTCTGTGTATTACAGAAGTCCTAATGTATGAGATGTTTCTCCTCTGATCCTCTATATCTGCCCAATGTGTTGTTTATATTGTCTGAGAAGAAAAACTTTGAAGAAAAGCTGATGACAACTACATTTATCAAAGCTAACAAAGGAAGAAGTAATACTAAATGCAGTCCTTTAGCTGACTGCAGTTTGTCTAAATACTTTCTCTAATTTGGTGCATTAAAGAGTTGAAAAATTAAAATGTTTGAACTGTCAATCTGGAAGACATTCAGTAGGAACCGCTGAATGTTGAACTGTTTTGACAGAGCAGCCTCTTGAAATATTTTCAGTTAGTTGTTGAAAATTGAGAATCTTACATTACACAAGATAGATTGCAACTGTTGCTGTAATTTTTTTGGTAAAATAATGTTTCTTTCTTTTGGGCACAGTGGATAGCTGAAAATACATGAAAATTGTTAAAGTCTTTGCAAGGGAAAAGTAACTAAGAGTGGAGTATTTAATTCACTGATACCTATCAATATTTAGAGGGTTTCCTAAAAATGTAAGGTTTGCCTCAAAACTTAGCTACTGATAACACCAAAGCATTATCCTACAAGAACCTATTAAATGTGGAATAGTGGATTTTCTAGGGTTTTGTAAAAAAGTCAATTAAATGTCTCATTTACATTTTTTTAGGTTAGTACATAACTTCCATTGCCAAAGTTAAGCATTAACTAGTGCATTTTCTCCTTGTAATTATCAATTTATTAGAATAAAAAAAGAGGTGCGCTTTTCTCAGCTTTAAATGACAAAGCAACAGACACAAACCCCACCAAAAGTACAATGCGCTCTTGTGCTGTTCTGTAGCTCACAAAGTACCCATTTAAACAATCCTTACTGGGAGAAGTCAGCATGGTTCTTTTTAAAAAAGAATCAAAAAATTGTTAGGTAGTAAAAACTATATAGAGATGAGTTGTCCAGTAGACTCCATCTATTCCAGAAAGTTAGAAAGGTCGCTTAACAGAAAATCTTTAAAGGAACTAAAAGAACTGCCTTAAGATAAATAATGGTTAAAAATCCAAAGACTAGGGCCAGTGTTCATGGAGGCATCTGTCCGTGGGCCTGCACTGTTCAATACATAAGAAATAAACTGGAAAAGACAATTCACAGCACAGCAGCAAAGTCTGCTGGCAGTACTAAGCTAGTGCTGCTCCCTGTCACCGATTTCCTTCACATGTATCATTTCGTATTTGTCTAGCCTGATTTTGCCTGGCTTTTTTAACATTCAAAACATCATTAGCCCCTCATAATCTCAGCTTTACATACCTATAGCACTGGAGGCCCTGGCTTTGGTTACCGCTGTGCAAAAGCATGTTGAATCATACTATGTGCTCAATATAGATTAAAAAAAAAAAGAATGCTAGAAATCAGGAAGGGATGAAGCAACAGAACAAATCACGATCATGCTGCTGCTATTTCTATTGTAATGAAGCAGGATGAAGACTATGCTATCCACTTATGTAATTTTTTTAAATGACAGCATTGTACAGCTCTTAGAACTGAAAAATTGCTTGTTTTTCCATAATGCATTCTGTAATTAAAAAATGTAACAAGTGTCATCTGTCTGCACATGGAAGAAGCTTTCTGGATAACAAGAAAAAGAGACTTGGAGGAATTGCATGGCACAATAAAACAATCAAGAACTGCAATGAACATGAAATTTGAGGGTTTTCCTCAAGGATACAAAGGATTTTCATTTTAACTGGAATTAAAACCCTTTGTCTCTGACAAGACAGAACTAACAATATATTTCTGGAAAATGTTTGTGTCACTAGGACTTCATTTGTTAACTTAAGTGTGTCCAGAGACCCACTCAGGCACTCCTGTCATTGTGATAAAAGTACATTGACTAAAGTATGAGGAAGTATTAGGTCTGTTCAGACAGTTAATGTCACCTTCAGTCAGTCAGCTTTATTCCCCTCCCTCCTACTCCCAGTGACATGCCTGGTGTCTTGTTCTGACATTTGCTGCTCTCCTCTGCGAGGCAGCTGAGATCAGTAATCCAGCAGAAAAACAGCCCAGCAGAAAGAGGGATAATTTTCTGCTGGAAAGTTCATTGAGCTGTCACATGAGAGGGAATGAATGAGAGGAGGGACAAGGAAAGATTGGAGCAGACAACAGACCAGGCTATCAGTTCAGTTTCCTGTAACTTTACCCTGACTTCTATCACCAAACTCCTTCACAACTTTCTGAGTACTCAGAGGCTGTTAGCACAGCTTCAAAAGCAGACATTTGGGTGAAACTTATGGCTTTTTCCACATGAGTACTTTTTACTCTATGTCACTACAGAAACAGCAAGCTGCTTTCCTCCTCTCACACAGTGTTAGCCGAGTGTTACTTTAAAAACTTGGTATGTTTAAGTAACTGCAGGTTAAAAACATGCAATGAAATTCAGGTTTGACTGTTAACCCTTGGGTTCAAGGGATTTCTCCTATATTTGACTGGAATACAGGGAGTGTAAATTGATAGTAGATGGTGATATAAAGATTCTAATACTCAGAACATATTGATGTCAACCCCTTTGATTCAGTTGGGAGATTTATTTCTTCTGTGACAATTTAGGTTTGCTGTTGCAGAATGCCAGCTAAGGCAATGCAAGATGTAACAGGCATGAAGTGAATCAAGATTTCATTGGTATGTTTGCTGCTGTCTTGCTTTAACTTATTTTTGTTATTGTATCCCAGAAGCAACATAAGCCATCTCAGTCACAGCAAACAATATAAAATGCAGTCTTTTACATTAATGTGGCTTCTTAGTTATGGCACTGGCCTTGTAATTTTAACGTTTCTATGTTCTGATTCTCAAAATATTTGCAAAGTAGAATCACCTTATTTTAAGTGCTGAAAAATAGCAGCTTTGCCACCCCAAAATAATGTACCACCCAACCACACCACTGTAGATAAGACCACAGAACAATTTTTCAACATCAGAACCATGTAAAGAGAAGAACAGCATCCAAGTACAATATAAAGCATATGATTAATCTTCATTAAATGTTTTCAATCCTCTCTCTTCCTGAAGAGCTATAGTTGCTGTTAGCACACTAATTTACAATGCATTTAGGACCCAATTTGCCTTTACCTCTCGTGTTTGAAAGCAAACCGCTTCTAGTGCAGCGAAGGCAATGTGGTTTTTATTTGTAAACTGAGTAAGGCCACAGATAATACTGTTGAGAAAAAAAACAACCACCAGTTAGGACATACTTCTTCACCAGACATACATCATTACTTCAGATCTAGGTCTTCTAATTCAAAGCTCATTCAGTTCTACTGTATGAGTACTACTTTTTAATATTAGTATGCTTGTTTATCTTTAATCAAAAATCTCATCACTATTTTCCTGACTAATGTGTTCAGTGTCCAATCAATACAAATGCAACGAATTTTTTTTGCCAATCTACACGCAGATGGGTGCATATTCACCTATAAGCAAACAAATTCTAGTCTTGAATGATCACTGCTGATTTTTCTTTAAAAAATGATACCACCTATGACTAAAATCTTCATAAATTAATGTTTTCAGTTTTTAAGGAAAAGCCCAGTTGCATCACTGCTGTGCTCTAAATGCTTAAAATTGTTTTCAGATCTGATCAGTAGTTGCCTTTGCACCTTCAAAGAGATTTTTGGATATGAAAATAATCTAACCGTAAGTATGCTGAATTCTGTCAATGTACTCTGAACCACAGAGCAAATAATTATCCTTTTACTCTGTTTCAACATCTGAGCAATAGTAGTGTACTACACAGAAATGCTGCTACATTTGGTGTGGGATATATACAAGCTCAAATACATTAAAGGACATTTTTAGTTGTTGTCATTTCAAAGATCAGGTTTTAACAGTTGAACAGTTAAGCACTTGATCTAAAAATCTGTAAAAAATCTAACTCAAAGATTTTTTTATTTCTTACGTACAAAAAGCATCTAAATTAGAAAGATACAACTACTCTAAACCCTCAGAATTTGATATTCTTTAAGATTTCTTTTCTCATTTTAGGAAAGTTATCTTCTATTTATATTTGTTATACTGGGACTTCCATGGCATGTGATTCCAGCAACAGTATGCAAGCTCACAATAGCAGAAAAAAAAAATAGAATTGCTTGAACTAGTAGTTCTAACTAGTACTGGGTAGTTAAATCTTAACTACAGGAAAGGGACTAGAAGGAAAGGAGAAAAGAGTGTTCAACAGACTGGAAAGAAAGCTGGACAAAAGGAGAAGGAGGAGGGGGAGAAGTGGGGAGGAGTTAAGTAGCCAGTATCATTTGTGATAGTGAATGCAGCAGCCACGGGAAACTGAGCTCAAAAAAATTCATCAGAACTAAATTCTTCACTTTCTGCTTTTTTTTTTTGCCTGAGAGCTCACACGTATGCAGACCTCCTCTTGCTCTTTACTGAGATAAATATCCTTTCAGAAACAAAAATGCATGAGGAAAAAAAAGCTGGCCTCATTAGTGGCAAGAATGATCAAACTATCTTGTACTTGTGCTGTAAAACACACAACCCAGCCCAAATGTTTTCCCTGCCCACTTCCCCAGTTTTTTTTTTGGATGTGGGGAGAGGAGAGCGAGTAGCTGAACTAGCTGATCCTTTTTCTTCTAGTAGCAGCTGCTATTTTGAACTGGTTAAATACAAAAGAGAAACACGGTAGTTCCTTGAAGATACCACAGAGAATGATGTATCATGACATATCACAGGAACAAAAATAACAATTTCATATACCTGGAAGGACTAGTGAAAGTATTTGTAAAATCATTAAATCTCCCTGCAAACACAGTGCTTAGTCAGATTCTTACCCCCTTGCACTGGGTTCCCAATATGGTGCATACAGTCCTGAAAATGCTGGCACAAAGTAGCAGCCGTAAGAAGTCCCCACTTCTGCAGCCAGTTTTTCTAATGCACACACACAAACAGTCTTCATTTAGCTTTTCGCAACTGTACCAACACTTAAATACGACACTTAAAAGTGTTATTAGTTACATAGGGAAAATACTCAGAATATGACAGGCAGCTACAAAAATAATAAAGCCACATACAATTAGAAAATACTAACTCTGGCACTCTGCTTTTTATTGACAAGTTGTCCATTTGTAACAATGTGAATGGAAGATGGGGCATAGGAAGTTGTGGGAAATGTAAAATGAAAAATCAAAACTGAAAATCAAAATCATGTACTCAATATTCTGACATAGATTCTGTGCGGTTTTCAAAGGGCATCATGCGGGTAACAAATGCAACCTTCAGAGCAGTGCTAAAGGTCACACTTTACTTGCATCTAAGTCAAGGCAAGCAGCTGAAACTGGATCAAGACCAAAGGGAGTTAAGAACTAAATTCTCATTAATTTCAAATGGATTTAGAGTTCTAAATTCTCAGCTTACGTCTATAATCACAAGGCTAGCTACAAGGAAATTTGAAGCTTCTTAATATCTGAGTAATAACTCTGGATATCTGAACTCCCCAATATTAAAATATTTTTAATTTAAAAAATTACATTAAAACATCTAGATCTGAAGAGGATGCAATGCTAATGTGCAGCTCCTTCCTATAAGAAGAAAGGAAAATGTTTTTTTCTGCTTTTTAAAATTTATTCTGTTTGCAATGATCAGAGAAACATAGCAATAAAGAAAAGAAGTAGGAAAATTTATTCAAAACCTCTTTCAAAATGCTACATTCATACAAATCCTACTTAAAAAAGCAGTGGAGGTAGAAGGAAGGACATGTCCAGGGAAACAGGAAGAGATGATGACGTCCCACATGACTTTAAGAACACTGACAAGATTGAAATTCTTGAAACTCAAACCTTTCAAAGGTATAGTCAAACTTCTGAAGCCAAGAGGTACTGCAGTGTTTCAACAGCTGGATAATTCACATAACAGTAGTTTATATTCTTCTGTATGGTATGCAAAGCTTTCTTACAGAAAAATAGACTGCTGTTTTAAGGTTTTGCTTAATCTTTGCAGTCTTATGTAAAATTTGAATTCTAAATTTTACACCTTTGAGTAAGACATAAAATTATTAAAAATATGTAATTAATTGCTTTTTAATCCTAAATCTCATAAATCGGTCACTTCCAAACTGCTACACTTGCATACTTTCCTTTTTCAAAGTCTAATATATTCCTAGTTTCTATAATGTCATGCTCCAGGATGTTTCAGTTGAACTCAAGCAGAAAACATTAGCTACCCAAATGTTAAAGGATTAATGTATTCTTAGCCAAAATGGATTATCATCCTCCACAAGTCCTTTAAGTGGCAGCTTTGCAAACATTCCAGACATCAAGAAATTGGAAAACTTTAAGAACTTAAAACTTTAAGCTCCAAATTGTGAATACTTACCAACTTCCTGTGAAGTTTTAAGGATACCTAGATTGTCCCTCAACCAACGAACAACAGCACCAGCTATCGCAACAGATCCCTGAAAGAAACAAGATCACTACATTAGCAGATGACAACTGATAACTTCCTTTCTACAAGACTGGAGAGGAAAGGTAGCTGTGGTCTCCAACTGCAGGTTTAGAGTGCCCCAAGAATGCTCATAACCAAACCACAAGTTTCTTGACAGCTGGAGACTGCCACGTAAAAGTGGCAGCCTGTTACACAGGCTTCATGTAGTAAATGGTATGTATTGCATGATTTTTGTTATGGGGGCAGTTACCATGACCTTTCCTAAGCAGACTTCTTGTCTGTCTAATTTAGGTCTTATCCTGAACATACAATTATGAGATCCAGTAGCTTCATCCTTTTTTTCCTGACAAATTAAGATTTTTATGCTCTGATTTGAAAATACAAGACAGATTATGTCTAGAACTTAAATACAAATGATGAGACAGAAATGTAAGTGCTTGTATGTGCCAGCAAAATTGTTCTGTTGCCTCAGCGAACAGCCCTGAATGGCTCCATCGTCTTATAGATAAACTGCATGGCTCCCATCTCATTCCAAAGTCCAAATGGTTTTCTCTACAAGACAGTCTCAAGTCTACTAGACTAACCTTCAAGTAAAATGGAGTGGCATCACATTTTCATCTAAAGCCACTGTTAGAGCAAAAGTGTTTTCTAACCAGCTAGCTATTAAAATTACAAGATACAGATTTGATGAAAAAGCTGAATCCACATTTTTTGCCTAGGTGTAGTACCTAAACCAGCAGATTGTAGATGATTCTAGTATGGATACAGGATAAAAGATGATTAATATCTTCTGCTGAAGCCATTTCTTCAGGCAGTAACATTAAAGACTTGGAGACAAGGAAGAAGTAAAGTACACGTGCTCATGTTTCAGACCAAGAAATACAAATCACTCTTGGGACGGTTTCAGTTATTGCTTTAAGAACATGTGTTAAAAATAAAACAAACCTCTCATAAACCCACACAAAATGAAAACGCCAAAGTCTGACAGAATATGGCAAATGCAAGATCAAGTTTCCTTAGGAAAGGAAAAGGAAAGGTACACAGACTCCTACATCTTAGAAAAGTACTGTAAGCCACAAACTGTTCTTCCGACGAAGAAAATCTTGTGTGTCTGTCTGTTTCATACGGAAAATGTAGGCTTTGTACAAAAGCTTAATGTCAGCAGAGAATACAGTATGCATGTTTTAAGAATAACTATTAGATCAAGCCCACTAAGCAACACAGACAGAAGAGTTCTGTTATTCCCAATGAAGGTTTGGTGGCAAATAGGTACTCAGCTGATCTGTGCTTCAGAAGCAGAGCTTTAGAGCAATGAACCCTGAAATTAAAGTAAAAATCCAATTTTCTACAGGATTTGGATGCCCTCACGGTTGTGTGGAGAACTGAAGAACTAAATTCTGGAAGTAGGTACTTAAGTCTCAGTAGGTAAAAAAAAGCTCAATTTTTAGAGGCTTCTTGCCCCAGAAATTTGATTTAGACTTTTAAAAGTTAGAAGTAAAATCCATTAGAATGAGATAAAAACCAAAGATACTTAGTTATGACTTTTATTATGGAACACTAATACTTTTCCCTCTCTTTTTTAAGCCCACTTCTAGTATAAGAATATTTCTATTTCATTTATTTACACTAATTACATATTTAAAAGACCATGTAACATGAAAAAGTTTTAGCAGTCATGCCCTGCAAATATAAGTGACGCAATGTAGAAATATTTTTATTAGATTATATGATACAGATTGGAGAAAAGGCTACCCAAAACCACACACAAGCCTTGAGGCACACAAGCTAAAACAAAATTATTTTTGTTTCCGTGCAACTGAAGATAACCTAAGATACTAGAGAAGTAAACAAGAACATGTGTCACTACAAAAAGGAATAATTACTGGACTTACCTCTAGTGCATAACAAACAGGTTTGTCTCTGCCCAGTTTGTAAGCTATTGTGGTTAGAAGCCCATGCTCAGAAAACACAGACTAAACGGGGAAGGGGGAAAGAAAAGGAAAAGCATGAACAGAGGCAGAAAATAGTTAAATAAAAATATCCAAATTATAATAAACAAGAGACAAAACCTTCAAAGGAAACAAAATAAATAGGGAAGGTTTAAATGAGGTAAATTATCAGCCACTCTAAATGAACACCTAAGATAGATCCCTCAGATTATTGGTGTTAACTCTCATTTCTATAAGCTGCCTTAGATCTTTCTAGCCTCCTCATAATAAAGAACTGGGGTCTTCAGAAGGAGACGTGAATGAGAAGTAAGCCAAAGCTTTGCATTATTTATTCAACCACAAAGAAACAATGGGACAAAATGAATGGAATAAATAAAAAAGCCAACACAAGGAGAAAAGCATGTGGTTAAGTAACAAAACACTCAGCACTTCTGGGTGATATTAAGAAACACATTCAAGGAAAGAGCAAGAAACTTGCTATGAAAAGTTGGCTTTTTTTGGGAAACTTAAAGAGCTAGGAAACAGAGTCTTACTGAAACACCTGAATAAATTATTCCTTTCTATTCTTTCAGATTTCAGCATACGCTTTTCCTTATCTCTGGCAATATAACTTTTTAGTAAGAAAGGCTAACATACAGTTGCACTCCAGAGCTTCAAATAAAGATTGTAAAATAAAAAGTGAACTAAAAAAAAGTCAACTGACCTTCTGACCTGTATTGCACAACAAGAAGCATCCTGTTCCATACCTAGCATGAAAGCAAAGACAAGTTAAAACCAGGATGTTTAAAGGATAACCTGTTACTGTAATTCATGAATCTGCGACTGCCCTTTGTAGAGTCAAGACACCACTTTTTGCTTCTTGACAGTAACTGATGATAAAATCATCTTCAAAAAGTTGATTTAATGCAGTCTGCAGCTGAAAAATCCAGTCCCAAGTCTCTCTGTGACTATTTCTTGAATAATACTTGATCAAGGATTAGTACAGCTGAAAATGTAAGTGCGAATTCCTCTTTGGTGGCAGTGTTTACTGACTTCAGTTTAAGATGATTATGAAAGCTACTTCATAAAATAAATATTTCACAATACTAAATTCAAGCTTTTAAAGGGAAAAATTAAAGAAATTTAGAAATTTTGTTCCCGTCATTCAAAGACTACATCCTTATACGTGTATATACACATACATATAAGGACGCAAATTAATAAAATTTAATTACTTATAATCCACTGTAACTTATTCTAAGAAATTACTAGTTCCCTACCTTCTTAATACCCTGAAAATTAATAGCTTAAAATAGTATTGAGATAGTCTTCAGTTATATTTGGAGAGAAAAATGGTAAAGCAATAACATAAACAGGTTAACACCCCCCCCCCCCCCAATCTTGCTTTTACCATTTTGTTTAGCAGTATGGGTGGGGTTTTGTTTTTTTGTTTTGTTGCTGTTGGTTTGGGTTTTTTTTCCTCAAAAGGTCTCTTGCATTATAAAAGTGTTTCTTATAAAAATACTTTGTGACAGCATTATTTAGAACCATGTTTGTTTTACTAAATACAAGGCCACTAACCATTACATTGGTGCATGAATATAAAAGATAAAGTGAAGGTTAATTAGCAACAAGTATAGATTAATGTGCAATTAAATCTGTGAAAGTGCCATACTGTGTATGTACCTACATGCTCAGTTAAGCACATGGCTGTAAATGGAACAGTAAGTCGTTTGATCAGAGCTTCTACTCAAATGAATGTTTGATTACACCAGTTGCCTGATTTAACTGACCATTTGTTTTAACTGAGGGACACTAGGAGGCTCTGAGCTAGACACAGAAGCAAAACCAAGGAATGAAACTGCAATGAATCTTTCCTATCTAGCAAAGATGAGGGGTATGTGTCATTCAAGTCTATGCAATCTAACTCACACAGCCACTATTTTATACAAAAGTCAGGACACTCTTTACTTTGTAGGTCAATAGAGTCAAAAGGTAGAGCTTTAGTTATGGGGTAAACATGAAAGCATTTGGCAGTTAGCTTGAGAGAGAACATAATATTAAACTCAAAACAAAACAGCGTGTTTATCTTCTACTTTCATAATAACTTACGTATTTTTTGCCTGCCCATCTTGAAAACACATTTGCCCAACAAGAGCAGCAGACTGGTCACCCAAGCACTGAAAAGAGAGGTTTGTGGGTTTTTTAGCAAATGTCTGCAACATTGATCACATGCATGAAAAAGAACACGAACAGATGAACTTTAATCTACTAGGAGCACACAGGTAATTGCAAGCGAGGAGAAATCTTCAAAGACAACCTCTGCTTTTTACTATTCTTCCCTTTACAAGAACTGCAAATGAAATGTGTCATGCTACTTATCATAGAATAGTTAGGGTTGGAAAGGACCTTAAGATCACCTAGTTCCAACCCCCCTGCCATGGGCAGGGACACCTCACACTACACCAGGTCACTCAAGGCTCTGTCCAACCTGGCCTTGAATACCTCCAGGGATAGAGCATTCACAACTTCCCTGGGCAACCTATTCCAGTGCCTCGCCACCCTCACAGGAAAGAATTTCCTCCTTATATCCAATCTAAACTTCCCCTGTTTAAGTTTTAACCCACTACCCCTTGTCCTGTCACTACAGTCCCTAATGAAGAGTCCCTACCCAGCATCCCTATAGCCCCCTTTCAGATACTGGAAGGCTGCTAGGAGGTCTCCATACAGCCTTCTCTTCTCCAGGCTGAACAGCTCCAACTTTCTCAGCCTATCTTTATACAGGAGGTGCTCCAGTCCCCTGATCATCCTCATGGCCCTCCTCCGGACTTCTTCCTACAGTTCCATGTCCTTTTGATATTGAGGACAGCAGAACTGCACAAAGTACTCCAGGTGAGGTCTCATGAGAGCAGAGGAGCAGGATCAGCTCCTTCGACCTGCTGGTCATGCTCCTTTTGATGCAGCCCAGGATACGGTTGGCTTTCTGGGCTGTGAGCGCACACTGAAGCTGGCTCATGTTCAGTTTCTCATCGACCAACACTCCCAACTCCTTCTCTGCAGGGCTGCTCTGAATCTCTTCTCTGCCCAACCTGTAGCTGTGCCTTGGATTGCTCCAACCCAGCTGTAGGACCTTGCACTTGGCATGGTTAAACTTCATAAGTCTGGCATCAGCCCACCTTACAAGCATGTCAAGGTCCCTCAGAATGGTATTCCTTCCCTCCAGCATAAAGCTTATGGTGAACAATTTAAAGAAATAAAAATAAAAATCTACTATATTTGTGCATATTGTACGGAAAAAAGCTGAGAATCTGCTCGGCATTTCTGGATTATGTATATACTGAACTCTTTCTATATATAAAGCCGGGCTTCTCTTCATTTTGTAATGTTACTCAGAGATCCTAAGTTTGCAACAGCACTAAACATATGCATTAAAGCCATCAGCTGTATTTCCACAGCCAGACCATAACTTAATAATGAAGAATCTAGTAAATTAATTATTCAACTTCAAAAGTTTAGTTCATGATTAACATGAAGTAAAAAAAATTAACTTAATTTGTAGCAGGATTCCCCCATGTTAAAAGCTTTTCCCAGTGATGATATGTTCATGCAGAAACAGGTTCTTATCCCAGAGTCTGAACTGAAGCAGGACTTACCCCCGAAATTGGTACACCTGTCAAAGCTCCAGATTTCTGATTCACAAAGAGAGAAAGAAAAGCTCCAAATTAGCTTTCCACGATTACAGTTGAAGACAATGAAAAAGAAGCTAAACTTTTAATGCTCAAAGGAAAACAAAGAAGGGTCATGAAAGCAACGTGGTCTATTTCAGCTATGCAACGGACTTCAGCTTAGTGCGGGTCATCACTGAAAACCAGCAGGAAATTCACAGGTCTATCTAATGCCACCTCAACAGTTCTTAACACAAATTTTGTTGAAATCAAAGTGGACAGAAAATTAGGTTCAGTGTCATATGTGCAATCAGTGTCAAGGGTAAAATGCAAAAGTGCAAATTGGTAAAGTGGACAGAAAAAAGTGGCTGTGATGACACGCTAAGCAAAAACAGATGCCTCATTTAACACAGCATTTTAAGTCTCATATAGAATTTTTCCAAACATTACCACATAGTTTTTTAGTTATATTTTTGCAACAGATATCATATTTATATCCTGACAATTTTTATTTTTTCTTTAACCTGTTTCTTTGTGCAATTGTGAAAATCTATTTGCAGTGAAGCCATGCAAGTGCATTTCCAATATGAATCTTTTTCTTTAATTCTCATTTTTAATTAACTGGATTTAGGTAACTGAGTTTATAAATGCATTAAAAACCCCTGCCTGAATCTGATATTTCACTATAACAGAATGAATGTTTGTAGACAGAATGGCCCGCTTTTCTTATTTATAAAACAAGACATTTGATAGCCAGTAGCTGTATTTTTTACTTCAACATAAAAAGATATATTTAACAGCCTCCAAATTAAGACAAATGCATACATCAAGATTACATTTTAGAAACAACTTTGGCATGAGCTCTAATTGTAGTATCTCAAATTTGGAAATACCTGCCAAATTTATTGGTTTGGGAAGGGTGTTTTTACTAATCCTTAAACCAGTGGACATGCACAGCATCTGAACAGAATGGATAAATGTAGGTGGTCAGCCTAATGGAAACCTATACTCACCAGGCTAGGACAGATTTTCTACAGTCAGCAAAAGGAAGAAAAAAATAAAAAAGATGGAAGGAAAGGGAAAGAGAAACAAAAGTTCACATTTAAAGTGACCAGCAATAGTGTTTCAGTTGCCAGGTTTCCATGCTGTTTCCATTTACCTCTCTCATTCAGCTTAATACAACTAACTCTCATCCTACCTTCACATTAACAGTCAACAATGACTTCTAGTGGCATCTCCATTAACAGATTAGTAAACATACTTACATGCCAGGCAAGTTAGAATTATATTTTAAATAAAATTCTCATAACTTGTCTTAATTATAAAATGCTCTTCTATGTTCTTAGTAAACAACAGAGCAAACTACCAAGAATGCAAAATCACAACATCCAGTTTATCTGATTCTGAAACAAATAAATTAGATGCTAATGTATCAGACCAGCTGGTGCTGCATTAAAGTAAACTTGAAACCTCAGTCACTTGATAACAATGAATGATTTACTCCTGATAGTCACAGCTGCACTGGAAAGCTGTGTGATTAAAAAAAAAAAGGATTAAAAAGACGTAATTCCAAAACATGTTTAGATTGAGTGCTATGTAAAGATACACATGAAAAGAAGTTTATTTTTAAAAAAGAAAGCAATCTAAGGTGTTACTTGTGATTTTCCAGTTCACAAAAACTGACTAATCTTGCCCTTGGTTATATGGAAATAAGACATTATACATCTTGTCCAGCCTTCTTAGATCATGAAGACTTCCATGGTGTCTTTCATCATTTCTTTTCAGAAGTAAAAATACTTTGTTCTAACAACAACAATCTAATTCTTTCAATGTACTGATTAAACAGCATTCTGAAAGGTACTTTTTAAATCAGTAAGTAACTGTAATAAAAAAATAAAAAAATTTATCCTTATCAAAAACCTCTCCCATCTTGTTTTGTCTATTTGATACTTAGAAAACAAGAAATACTCAATTTAATATTATACAATAGATAACACACTAATCATAAATCAAAATATTACTCTAGAAAAAGCTGTTAATCTATGTGAACTCTGGCAAATCGATACTGATATATTTTTACAAGATTAACTTCACACAATACAAGAAAACATACCATCAGGCCATAAATCTCAGAGGAGCTTCGCACTTTTGGGAGTATTTCCATAGGAATATCAAAGAACCTGAACACAGTAGAAATTTATATATATGAGGTCAGTGCTAAAGTAGAAAGCATTTTGCATTTATTTTCTTAAATATGTTAAAACTTTAAAGAAAAAAACCCTACAATTGTAAAAGGAACTTTGACTTCTAGGATTTAATCTGTGTTTTTCCACTTGTTACAGTACATGACATTGAATTATGGCATAATTACGGAGTAAACCAGTGGAGACCTCATAGCAGCCTTCCAGTATCTGAAGGGGGGCTATAGGGATGCTGGGGAGGGACTCATCCTTAGGGACTGTAGTGACAGGACAAGGGGGAATGGGCTAAAACTTAAACAGGGGAAATTCAGTTGACATATAAGGATATAGTTCTTTACTGTGAAGGTGGTAAGGCACTGGAATGGGTTGCCCAGGGAATCTGTGAATGTTCCATCCCTTGCGGTGCTCAAGGCCAGGTTGGACAGAGCCTTGGGTGACCTGATTTTGTGTGAGGTGTCCCTGCCCATGGCAGAGGGGTTGAAGCTAGATGATCTTAAGGTCCTTTCCAACCCTAACTATTCTATGATTCTATATATTTGAATATTTTGAATACATATGCAACTCTTTCATGTGGGAAGTCATTCCTCTTCCAGCAGTATCTTTATAATATTGTTAATAAATTTAAATTTAAAATAGAGACGCTATCATTGTAAGCAACTTACAAATCAAATTAAGGTATAAAGAAACTATTAAATGTCATCGTTTCCATGAACCAGTCTTCCACCTACAGAAAAAATCTGCTACTTTTAATTAATCTAGGCTATTGCAACTTGGACATCTGGAGAACAATGAATCTTAACCACTAATGTAATTTACTAACAGTAAATGCAAGAGTAATTACCAATCTTAGTCTAGATAAAGAGGTTCTTACTCTTAAATTAATCTCTTCACACAACAGTTATAGAATCTATTTAAATAACAGTATTACTGAAAACCTGAGCTTACTGGCAGAGCTCAGGATCCCATTCCAAGGAATGAATGTTGAACAACATTGTTCTGCTGGCGTTGGTTACATCTGTACAGTGAACACCTCCATTCTTTCCACCTGTCAAACTCTGAACAAAAAATATATTAACAGTATTTACCAAGCAAAGATAGAAATTTACTTAAAGAAATTAAAAAAAAATATTTCTGAATTCACAATGCTTTCCGCTTGGAACTGGGAATTCTGTATTTCTCCAACAACTAAAGAGGCAGACCTGTTACAGTGGAACAAAGGCACAAGAGAGGTAATAGGGTTACAACAGTACCTCCTGGATTCTTATATTGCAAAGGTGGCTGATGCAGCTTTCTGAAGTCTGAGGCTTTTCCAAAAACATGAGCAAAATCTAACAGCAACCTATGAATGGTAAACTACACATAAGCATCTACCAAAAAAAAAAAAAAAAAGTAATAAAGACACAACAAAAACTTCATCTAGTATAATTTACCACATGACATCCTTGTCTCTAAACTGGAGAGACATCAATCTGGTGAATGGACCACTTGGTGGATAAAGAATGGGCTGGATGGCCACACGCAGAGAGTTGTGGTCAACAACTCAATGTACAGTTGGAGACCAGTAATGAGTGGTGCCCCTGAGGGTTTGGTGTCAGGACCAGTCTTGTTCAACATCTTTGTCAGTGACATGGACAGTGGGATTGAGTGCGCCCTCAGCAAGTTTGCCAATGACACCAAGCTGTGTGGTTTGGCTGATACGCTGGTGGGAAGGAATGCCATCCAGAGGGACCTTGACACACTTGTGAGGTGGGCTAATGCCAGACTTACGAAGTCTAAACAAGCCAAGTACAAGGTCCTACACCTGGGTTGGAGGAATCCAAGGCACAGCTACAGGTTGAGCTGAGAAGACATTCAAAACAGCCCTGCAGGGAAGGACTTGGAGGTGTTGGTCGATGAGAAATTGAACATGAGCCAGTTTCAGTGTGCGCTCACAGCCAAGAAAGCCAACTGTATCCTGGGCTGCATCAAAAGAGCGTGACCAGCAGGTCGAAGGAGGTGATCCTGCCCCTCTACTCTGCATTCATGAGACCCCACTTGGAGTACTGTGTGCAGTTCTGGTGTCCTTAACATCAAAAGAACATGGAGCTGTAGGAAGAAGTCCGGAGGAGGGCCATGAGGACTGGAGCACCTCCCGTATGAAGACAGAGTGAGAAAGCTGGGGCTGCTCAGCCTGGAAAAGAGAAGGCTGCGTGGAGACCTCCTAGCAGCCTTCCAGTATCTGAAGGGGGGCTATAGGGATGCTGGGGAGGGACTCATCCTTAGGGACTGTAGTGATAGGACAAGGGGGAATGGGTTAAAACTTAAACAGGGGAAATTCAGATGACATATAAGGATACAGCTCTTTCCTGTGAGGGTGGTGAGGCACTGGAATGGCTTGCCCAGGGAAGCTGTGAATGCTCCATCCCTTGCGGTGTTCAAGGCCAGGTTGGACAGAGCCTTGAGTGACCTGGTTTAGTGTGAGGTGTCCTTGTCCATGGCAGGGGGTTGGAACCAGATGATCTTATTAAGGTCCTTTCCAACCCTAACTGTTCTATGATTCTATGGAACTTTAATGGCATTTCTGTAGTGGCCTGTATCCACATCACTGCGTGATCACTGGGCATCATATGTCACAGTACATTGTACAGGAATTTTTATGATATAGAAATTAATTTTAAAAAGAATGATAAAAAACTCACAAATACATACCCATATAAGCCACGAGTCAATAGTCCCAAACATAGCTCTTCCATCACCAACTGCTTGCTTAATTTCTTCCACATTATCCAAAAGCCATCGAAGTTTCACTGCACTAAAATAAGTGCTAAGTGGAAGACCAGTCCTAAACTTTAAAATAAAATTTAAAAATCACCTAAACATCATACAAGTATCTTTTACATTAATATTGTAGTTATATGTAAGAATGGTGATTGTAAGTGAAAAACCAAAGACACAAAACTCGGAGAAATTGCACAAACTTGTTACTTAGATGAGTGCTAACCATACAACACACGTCTGAAAATATAAACAAATGATCAGTGCATTAATGGACAAAGATGAAAGCTGTTCTAAAGGCAAGTCAAAGATCATTTATGTGGAAACAGTTGTTTGCAGAAGTCCTGTCTTGTCTAGGATATCCCCATATGACTAGACAGCAAGCAATGATAAGAAAAATGAGTAGCACAACACAGAAAAGGTAGAATTTGTACTCAATTGAAAATCAGATACACCTTTATGCTTTTTGACATCCATTTCCTGCCTATTGGAAAACATATATACAGAAAATATATACAATTTATATATTCAATCAACGAAAACATAAATCACAGATTTATGACACCTTTTTTATATATATCCACATATAAAAAAGAATGAATTTGCTTTCTATGAACTATCTTCCCAGTTCTCAGATTGGTTGCAATTGATTTCATTAAGTCATGAGAAAGGATAACTATTTTTCATCAATAAATTACTTTCAAAACTTTTTTTTTTCAACTTGCTGTTAGTTTTTGTGTGTGATGTTTACTTACCATTGGATAGCACGACTAAGTCTCACAAAGATTACTCATTTAACCTCTGTACTGAGATATGTAAGGAGTGTTAATCACTTCTTTTGAGGAAAATAAACATTTTCCAGTCTCAGATTGGTGTATAGCATTATGTACATCTTTTATTATTCGACAAGCTGAAAAGGGACTAGAAGCTACAATTGACTTACTTTGTTTTGGGGAATTTTAAACACTCATCTCAAAACGTTATATACTGCAGCAGTAAGAGTTGAGCTACAATTTAACTGTTCTGGAATATGTCTTACCTTAAAAAAGGATTTGTTTTTTCCTGGAATTTTTTTGAGAAGACGGTCAACTGTTGCCTGGGTTCTCAGGTCAAGCCACACTGAAACCATTAATGTATTAACTGATCAACTGGTTTAATACAGGAGAAGTGACATGTACAAGCTTATTCTACAAAACCAGAGTTCTTGAAAGTAAACTGCTGACTTTTTTTTTTTTTTTTTTCAGCTTTTCTTGTAATTGGAACAATACTATATTGCTATTGTATTTTAAATGCACTGCTGTAAAAACTGAAAATGGTTAGATAAACTCATTGATTTGGAAGAACAAACAATTTGAGAAATCAAATATGATTTTCCACATAATAGGATATATACTTTTCGCTTTTGGAGCACAATAAAATTATTAATACAACCTTGTTTACAGCAGATGATTATCATTAAATTAAGAGGTTAAAACAAATAGTAGGCTGATTATTTACTACACCTATGAAAACTTTGAACTTAAGTGTAACATCAGAGTTATCTAGGTACAGCTGGGCTTAAGATAAAGCTGTATAAGATAAAGCTGCTTAAGATAAAGCAGCACAGATTTGAATATAAAATATTCCTGGTTTTTCAATGATGCTATGCTACTGCTGACAATCTGAAAAGCTAAGGTAAGTTAAAAGTAAAACTCGAAAGCAATAAGATTTCATTAAACCTACTTAACATGTTTTTCATTGGAAGCTAAATCAAAAGTATCCTGAAAATGTAGTAAGCTCCTTCATTTAAAAGGAAGTGATCCAGCATAACTCAGAGCTTCATTACCTGCCAGGGATGTACAAAACCCCTCAGGAATACTGGTTTTTTTTTTAATCACATAAAGTGATTTATTAAGTAATAATTCTAACAGAATAGTCTGGGTTTTTTTTAATTGCACTGGTATATACAAACACATAGCTTATGCCACAGACGTCAAAAAGTAAAAGAAGTTAGTAAGCTTGGCCGCAGTGAGATCTGCACAGGAAGTAAGGAAAGCATTTTTTCACAACATGCTCATTTTATGGTATTACATAATTCAAAAGTAGAGTAGTTACCGATAGCATTATAAAGAGGTTCTCCAGTTGTCTTGTCCCAAACCACTGTTGTTTCTCTCTGATTGCTGACTCCAATGGCTTCAGGACAAAATGGAAAGAAGTATCCTTTTCAGAAGGTTTGTTTACCCCTTTTAGGGGGTGAGTGAGGAACAGGATATGTGGAGAGGATGGTGGTATTGGTAAGGAGAAGAGGAAGGTAAATGGGAAATAAAAAGCTTTCAACTTTTTCATGTTACAATCTAGAAATATTACTTTGAAAACCTCATCATTCAACTTTTGCTGCTTAACCTATGTGCTCCAAATATTTCATTTTTTTTTTTTGTTTTACACTAACTGAGACAGCAACAACACTGACAGGGAAACTTGTTTTTCCCAATGAGTCCTAATTTAAATTTCAGAATTTCTTCATTCATTACTTGTCTCTGTTAAGTCTACTTTGTAGACTCTGCACTGCTAAACTAAACAAAGGACTTACTTATTTTCTCATTATTCCTGCCAAACAAACTGCTCTCAATTCCAATTTAACATTTTCTTCGAAGCCAGCACATTCTGCCACCCTTGTTATTTATTGACTTAAAAAAACTAGAGGGTCTTAGTTGCTCAACTGTAGGTATGTTAAAGCCCTCAGTTAACCTTAAGTAGTAGATGAGGCCCTTAGTGACATGGTTTGGTGGTGGACTTGGCAGTCTTAGGGTAATGGTAGGACTTGATGACCTGAAAGGTCTTTTCCAACCTAAATGATTCTATGATTTTATGAATACCTTTTATATTAGTGATGTCTATGTTCAGTTGTTGCAGTTTCTCACAGGTCTTTTCCACACATTCATGGACAGAACTTAATATTTCCTTTGGATCTTGTTCCACCCATCTTTAACAGAGAGTAAACACCAGTTAATAAAAATGCAAAAAAAAATTACATTTTTACATTACAAAGCATGTTTTACATATCTAGAAAAAGTGCAATGAATTTCAAACCCTTTTTAAACAGTAAACTGTATTTTCACGGGAAAAAACTGCAAAAAACAAAGATTTTATCTTTTGCTTTATTCTATACAGAAGGCTTTGGCAGCAAATGTTAGGTCAGCTGAGAACAATCAATCAAATAAAAAATTTCATATACTAAGCAATATATATGGACTAAGATGAAAACTATGACTGAAGTGTGAAAATGACCAGCTTTACCACTTTAAATGAGACTTTAAGTCTTGTTTAAGCTTTGGTTGTAAACTTTAAAGTTTAAACTTCAAATATGTTAGTGAGCGTTAGCAGTAAAACCCTAATTATTTTTAGTTTATGTAACTCTGAGCACCTACCAGACACCCCATGAGGTTTTTTATACCATTTTTTCTATCACAGTCTTATGTAGCAGATACTGTGTTCTTAGTTATTATTAATCAACTTCAGTTTTGATCATTCATAGATAAAAATATATAAGCTGTACAAAAGTGTACACAAATGAAAAACCATAGAAAATTCATACCCTTCTTTAGGGAATTTCTGCACTATCTCAACTTGATGGTGACTCAAGAGCTCTGATGTTTTTGCATTAAAAACCTGAAAGTAAATTACAACAACAAAATTTTCTGTGAACACAGAAGTTTAAACAACAGTAAATTAGCTTTTACTCTTTTGAACAAATACAGTGCCCTTATAATTAATAGTAATTTTCTATCATCAACCCACATATCCATGTAACCTCGGTTCCGATACATGAATTGTAGTAACTAAAGTATTTTGGTAAGCTATGCTGTCAATTAGAACTGCTTTTAGGAATAATGATTTTAAGAGAAAGACAATTGTGTAGTTTAGAAATCACAAAAGGAACTAAATGGTGAAGAAAGAAAAAGCACGTAGAACCCATTTTGTTTCAAAACTACAAATACAGAGCTCATGAACTGTCCAACAAGAAAAGAACGTCACTGCAGCAGCATAATACACTTAAAAAAAAAACAACCCTGAAGTGACTTAGATTTGGATTTATTACCATAAAAAAACCCAGCAGAGTATAGAATCCTGACGACAATACTAATGGCTATTCTTAAGGAATCACAAGTTAGAAGCTCTGCTTTGAAGTAGAAGCTCAGCTAGAATATACAATGCTCTTCATTAACCATCAGTGAACTGTTTCCAAAAGTAACTGACTGTGGCCAATCTGTCACCCAGTAAAGCATCCAACTCAAGTGTACAATGGGTAAGGAAACATAACTGACTGGGCTATGAAGATGTTCTTGTGAAAATGGCTTTTTCTCATTAGCACCATGCATAATCTTTTGCTTGAAGAACGTTCATGGACCTAGAAAGTAAAATTTAACAGCAGATACAGGTGAACTGCAGAACATGCCAGTAGGACACTATCCTATCTTTTTATGGCAAGCAGAGGAGGATCAGATTTAAAAACCACTCTCATGCTAAGGGTACAAAATTCCATTATAGCCATCGATTCTCTAAGATACAACTGCATCTTTTCTAGACTTCCTTGTCAACTTTCTTTTCTTATTCCACAAATGTTAGGAATTGATATTAAAGCTTGTAATCCATGAACTCTTGATTTCATTTAGATAGTACAGTTTACTCCGAAACTATCAGAACAATCCTGACAAAAACCAGATGAAGTTCTAATTCTCCAGTTTTTTGGAAACCTTACAGTGTATTTTTAAAGTGAAATTTTGAAGTTCAGAAACATTCTAGTTATAATAATATAATAATTCAGGCTGAAGGGGACCTTGTGAGATCTCTCAAGGAAGTGCAACTTCCTCCTCAAAGCAGGGTCAGCTATGAGATTAGACCAGATTGCTCAAGGACTTTTTTGACACAGGTCTTGAAAACCTCAAAGGATAGCAACAGCATGACCTCTGGAAAATATTAAAAGTTAAATTTTCTGCTCCTCTACCCAGAAAAGAATTTTTAAAAAGATACAAGTTCATTTTTCTCTGTTATCACTTGGAAAGTCTACATAGAAAAAGCACCACTGTATTCTTCCTACTGTATTTACTTATCTGTGTTTCATCTACCAGCTGAGGCTTGATATTAAGCTACCCTAATGAAAGGGTAAGCTCTGTCAGGAAACCGTGTTTGGAAGGAACTCATATAATGGGATAGGGGTCTTAAAACACTATCAAACATAGTTAATAGGAGACATTAAGTCTTATATGTATGCACCAAGACTTTACTTAAAATTGCCTTTCTGCCAAAAGCCCAGTACCATTTACTAAGTTTTTTATAATAAAGATAGAAAGACAGAAGACTTTATTGAACTGGTATGTATCTGACCTACTAACAGTGTAAAATATAATTTGACTGATCATTCACCATTAATCATTCACTAGTTCTTGAAACAGAAGGCAGTGCATAAGGATTCCTACTGTTAGCAGGAAACAAATACAATTGGACAGGTCATTCATTGAACCTGGAGTGTGGGACCCACATGAGCTACAGCATGAAGCTCTAGCACACCAAAGGTTTATAACTCCTTCTAAGCAAGCTGCTCTAACAGCAATAAGTTCTCAACAGAAGCAGTAACGCTACAAATGCCTAGATCTCTTCATGCCCATAGAGAACTAGGTAAACACAGTCTCCTAATCCATCACAAACAAAACTACAAACTGACATCCTCAACAAAACCAACAGACACTCCCTGCACCCCAGGGCAAGGGATTAAAAAGTTTCACTGGGAACAATACCATATTCCACAGCAATAAATAGAATCCTGATACACAAAAGGATGACAAACATAAATGGGTTGTCATATTTGAACCTAGAAGATTATAAAATAGGGAATATACATAGAACAAAAGTGACCTCCCCTCTTTCTCTGCCCACCCCCTAAAAAAAAAAAATATTGCCAAAACTCAAAAAATCTGTCTTTGTTTCTCTCTGACAGTAGTGAGAGAGAGATAGGTGGCAATAAGTATGAGTAATTCAGAGGTTAGTACATTCTTGTTGGAAAAGGTTTGAAGCATATTTCCGTTACTACTTTTGTTCCTTTCATATTCATTAAGAACTGGTTCCAATTTATGATATTGATCTCTCTCTTCTGGAGGCAGGGGAAGACAAAGTGGGTTTTGCCTTAATTTTATCAGCAGTAGTCACAGAAGAATTCTCTAGGCTACTGGACATGTAGAGGTATATTGAACAGAGATGACTTCATGAAAGGCAGTGAAAACTACCTGATACGTACCGCATTATCTGGTGAGAGACTGAGGAAAAGAATAAATAACACAGTCTTCCACTCACAACAAAATATCATACAAAGAATTAAAGCTTGAGCCTTAAATCTCAAGAGCAGACACGTACTTAGCTGTGCTGTAGGTAAGCAAGCGCAAGGTCTGATCTTTACAACGTCTGTAATATAACACATGGCATCATATGTAGGGGTGCAAAGAGCTGTATGGTATTACGTTGAGTCTTTATTAGCTTAGTGGAAGAGAATTCAGATCAATCAGTTGTAATAATTTCCAAAGATGAAAATAAATATGAGACAAACAGAAACATGAGGCTTATGGAAGTCAAGCAGGAAGCTGCACAGCTGAAAAGACGATAGTGAAAACAGATTTTAGAAGTAACTTTTCATTACTCTCAAACTTTGCCACGTAACTCTGCCTGGAGAAAAGCTACTCCTGTTGGCCTATGCTGTATCTTCATGACTTTTTGTTAAGCTGAAACAGCTATAGCAAACAAGCTCCTAGCACGAGTTCTGAAACTGCACTGAAATAAACCCAACTGGGGGAAGGATGACAAACAATAATCCTACCTTTAGCACTTTACTTAGCAGGCAGGCAGAAAGTATGAATAAGTTTAACAAGATTCCCAGAATTATCTCCCTCCTCCCCCCCCCCCCCTTCAAGCAGGTGTCTCTTCCCTCCTGTGGGAATAAAAAGCAAACCTGCAGTGTACTTGAAGTGATAAAAGCTAAGAGCTAGGAAAAAACTGAAACATTTGCAACATTTTTAACTCTTCTTGGTAGCTATACAATCAAGCTTTGCTTCCCCCCCTAAAAATGTCACATTATTTCAGTAGAGGGGTGAAGCAGGTTTCCCTCTGAAGGGTAAGCTTAATGGGTACTAAGTTTTTCCTTATCTAAAACCAGGTTTTGTTTACTGAAAAGAATGCTGACAGTGTGATACAGCTTTATTTGAATGTTTCTTTTGAAATGAGGTGGAAAAAAAAATTGGGGTTGACTGACAAAGCTAGAACTTGAAGTATTGTACATGTACTTGACTGTATGTGTACTTCACTGAATACTTCTATTCTTTTTGCTCCTGGATAAAATGCCAGATGTTATCCAGCGAACACCTTTCAAGAGATCAGCCAGTGGTTAGACTAACCATTAGCTCATGATCCAAAGGCTTTTGGCAAAAGAAGTTACAATGGATTTTTATTATACAATTCTTGAATAAAATGGAAAATGAGAGATGCAAATATTTGATGAAAATATTTGGCAAAACATCTAGACCAGACTTTAGTCATCTGGGTACACTCGTTTAGCCTACTCAATTTATTTTCCTGCTTGGTATCTTAAAGAAAATGAGCCTTAAGCAATTGCACTGCTTTAAGCACGGTGCTCTCCCTGGCATGCATGCTCAACACAACAGAAAAGTTGAGACCTCAAATCTCAAAAATAATCACAGTTCATTTTGCAAAAGCAAGTAACTTAGCAAACAAAAACAAAAAACAAAACAAAACAAAACAAAACAAAACCAAAAAAAAAAAAAAAACAAACCCCCAAAACATCCAAATTAGGGTTCCCAGGGGGTAAAACTACAGCATAAGCTAAAACTGTATGAATGTTGTGTGTGAGAGGCAAGGATAAATAAGTGGCAGTAGCAGAAATGCAGCTTCATTCTGGTGCTTCTTTATCATCTGTGCTCATACAGCCTCAATCACATAAGCAGGAGAACATCTCAAAACTTGCGTCCATACACAGAATAATTAACTCTGGAAGGAATCTCTGGGGGTTGTCTAGCCTGACCTACTGCTCAGGTAAGTTTAAATTTAAAGTTAGACCAGGTTGTTCAGGGCTTTTGCTAGTCAGATGTTGAGTATCTGCAAGGATGGAAATTCCACAGGCTCTCTGGGGCCCTGATCCAGAGCCCCTCATAGTGAAATATTTCTTCCTTACATCTATCTGAAACTTCACTTGCTGCAACATGTGTTCATTGCCTGTTGTATTTTCTGTGCACCTCTGACAAAAGGCTTGTTCTGTGTTCTCTACAAGATGTGATTTGATAGCTGAAGACACTCTCTTACACTTCCCTGTGAAGAAACAGCCCCTTATCTCCCAACCTCTCCATGCATGCTTTGTGCTGCAGCTCAGTGATCATGTTAGTGACCCCCTGCTGGACGAAATCCAGTTTTTCAGACTCTCTCTGCCTCTAGGGGACTCAAAACCAGACACAGTGTTCTAGATTCTGCCTCCCAAGGGCCACACAGATGGCAATAATTACTTCTTTGATCCACAATCTGCACTCTTCCTAATGTGGTTAATCTTCACCAGCACAAGAACACACTGCTCGCTTCTATTGAACTTGCTTGTAAAGCAGGAACCCAGGTCCTTTTGCATCAAGCTGTTCCTTAGCCTTCTGTCCCAAGCGCTGAACTTTGTTGCACTTAGGCTTCTGCCAGGCCACTTCTCCAACTGGAATGCCAATGAACTGTTCCTCCTGTCTATGGTGATCTGCAAACTTGAGAGGGCATTCCACCCCATCCCACAGGCCGTTGATGAAAATACTGTGAGCTATCCCAGTATTTTCTTTGCTGTGGAACACCGCTTGTAAACTGGCACCTGTAATTGTAAATTTAGACTCTGAACTGTTGACACTATCCTTCAGCCCCAAAGGACCTGCCAGTTTCTCACCCAGTCATCTTTAACCTGGTCAAAATTGTATGTCTTCCATCTTAAAAAAACAAGGTAGCAGTTGTACTAGATAGACGTGTGCAAAGTAACCAGCAATTTCATTTTGACTGATGACTTGGTGAAGATGAAAATTGTTGGAAGCATTAGAGAAAAAAAAATTATGTAGAGAGATTAAGAGAAAAATGTATGGAAAACAACTAACACAGTAGAAGATAGAGAGGCAACAACAGAGCCAAGAAAATAACTTGGGCAAACCACATTACCTTTTGGTTTTAAACATTTCAAAGCCAAGTCTCTCTTCTAAGTGTGGCAATCTCTTCCCAGCACAGAATTGCCCAAATACATGTTATTATCTGAATGCCTGATGCAGCTTGTAGCAAATCCATGCACAGTTTGCCCTATCCTTCCTCTCTACCCCATGTTTTGATTTAATTCAGTGATGATATATCTTTTTTTGTTCAAATTCACATAACTTTATTATCATTATAGTTTGGTCACTGCCAAACTGAAGACAATATTGTATTTTGAAATGAACTGAGAAACTGGGATGAATAAAAGAAGAACTGAAGAGTGACAGACACAATACGCTTTAAAACAAAAACAAAAACAAAAAAGATGTCATTTGTGTAAGCACCTGAATCCTTGAACAGAGTCAAAATACCTAATGTAGACAGAAAAAGCTCCCAACTGTATACAATCCACTGATGTATGCATCTAGCGCAAGAAATTCCTTGTTAGAAGAACATGTCAAAATGCTGGTAAAAAGAGCTTGAGTATAAATTTAAAGCTTGCTGTGTCACTTTTGGTTCTGCTAATGTTAACCTTTTATGCCAAGAAAAAAGTTAACCTTGCATACACATAAAGCAGATAGAGTTTATCTTCAGGTGTTAATGGAAACTTCTCCAAATTCTTTCCAAAAAGGACTCCTGACTGGCATGCAAGATAGCCTGCTGGTGTCATTTGTCAGTTTGGATTTTCCCTCCACCCTCAGATCTGTGTTTTGTCATTTGACAATCCCATGAAGGTCGTGATATTGAGTAATAATGGTAACACAGGTCAAGAAGATATTCTAGTCTCCAGTTTCACAAAAGAACATACCACATAGGGAAAGCATTGAAAAAAACCCTAAAACCCCCACAAAACCAAACAAACCACACAAACGCACACACATACACACAAAAAAAAAGGCAAGGGCAAGATAAAGCATTCCCCTCCCCAGCTGATCACATTTGGCAGCATTTTGTATCTAGTCATTCTCTACTCCATTTCTACAGTGGAATTATCAGTGGGATCTAAATCAAATCACTATGACTTACTGACTCAGCAACAGGTTATTTATAGAGATTTGCATGCAGGAAGTTTATAAGTTTCATATATAATAGCAACATTAGTTACGTTCTATTGCATAATAGAGAAATAACTAGATCCTTAAACTAAAGGGCTTATATAGGCTATTATTATTATATTAATCACCCCATTCTTAAAGAAACTATCTTCCTCCAGAGTTTAAAAGACCATCTCTCATAAGCTGTACAAGTTCAGTCACCTGAATACCTACAGTGCTCAGGACACATTGACATTAAGGTTGTAGCCTCGGAACTGCAGCAGTCATTCCAACAGGCCCAAGTAGGTTTTAGAGGGGAACGCAGCAGTCATTGCACTGTCTGAACACTGCTAGCTAATCACAGTCACTCAACTCACGCGTATCTATTCCTCCAGCGTCTGTGCACCTTGATCATTTGACTTCAGAGCGACAGACCTTTCAGATTTAAAATACAGCCTGCTCGAAGCAGCAGGATTGTGCAGCCCCCTCCAGCAGCACCCAGAAACGCTGCCCTCCGCTTTGCCCTGCGGCCGGGAGGGCACCGCCGCACGGCCCGCCCCCCTCGGTACGGGCAGCGCTGCTCGCCCCTCAGGGCAGCGGGAAGGCGACGGGGGTCCTATCGCCGGGGGACACTGCCGGTCGGCAGCTTCCCACCCCCCGCGTCTACCGGCGCTCTCTTCCTCTCGCGGCGCGGTGGCCCCGGCCCGCCAGGGGACAGAGGGAGCCGGTGCAGGGCTGGAGACAGGAGCCGTGGCACGGCCCCGAGCCGCCCACTCCCCCTGCCCTTCTCCAAGGGCACAGAAGAGGCCGGAGGGGCCCCGCAAGGATGCAGGAGCGGGATCGGCAGATCCCCCGGGCCGCCGCCTGCACCCCCTGCGTCTCTGCGCCCCGGGGGCCGCCGCAAGTCCCGCGATGTGCTCACCAGGAAGCGAGTGGAGCTGGTGCCCTGATCGATGGAGCCCACCAGTGGCCCCAGCATCATCCGGTTGGACGCGGCCATGAGTCCCACTCCGCCACCCGTTGGGTCCCCTCAGCAGATGGTTACCGGCCGTGCTAACGCCGCCTGCCAGCTCGCGGCTAGCGGCGCGTGGCTGAAGGGGTGAAGCCGGCGGGGGGGGCGGGCCGGGGGGCGCTGCCGCGCGTATTGCCAGCCCGTAGCCAATCAGCGCTTGGGGCGCGGCGGGGGCGGAGGGGCGAGGGCGGGGCCGGGAGCGCAGGAAGTCGGCCAACGATTTCAGGGCGGGGGAGTGGGCGGGGTTATGTGGCAGAGCGTTGGCGTAAGGGGAGCGCTGGGCCGGGCGCGGGAAGCGTTGCCCCAGGGAGGGCAGTTGTTGTTGCCGGGGGTCTTCCGCGGGCTGGACATAGCTCCCTGGGGAGCCCGCAGGGCGAGATGCGGTGCCACGGGTCCGCGGTCATTCCAGTGCTGCGGCGATGAAACCCGTTTTGCTCGCAATAGGCGAGAGAGGAAAGAAACCCCTCCCGGACCAGGTTGGCTTTCACGGTGTGGCCGGCGGCATTACCTCTCTGAGTCGGGGTCCAGCCGCGGAGGGTGAGAACCCGGGAGGTGCCATACCGGGATGTCTGCTGGAAGTTTTCGGAGTGAATATCGCCGAGGAGTCTGTCCTCGTAGCCGTGGCACTGGCACGTTAGCCAGCCCCTAAGGGGGTTATTTCAATCTTTACAGCTTGACCCTTCGTCAAGCTGAAATGCCAACTTCAAAAAATACAATCTTGATCTTCCTTACTGTGCGTTGGTAACTAGTGCTTCAAGAAAAACTGCTGGTGTTGCAAGACCCGTGATCGAATTGCAAAAGCTAATAACGCTGACTAAAGCACATGAGAAGTTACCCAGTGGCACATGTTGCCAGCAAATCGGCCCCCACAGGCGCCATTAAACAGATTTGTCTTTGTTGCAGATCTCTCCCCATGAGTAGCTGTTGTCCAGACTCAGTGTTCTGTAGGCATTGCTCCCTGATAAGCAGAATGTGACTGCTGCCACTTGGTAACGTTTTGCGTGACATCATTACTCAGCGCTTCTGGCATACCCTTCTTTTATTCCTCAGTACTTCAGCTGGCGTCCAGGAGTCATAGAGTCGGTTAGGATCTGAACAGTACTATCTGCCCATTGTAACAGATATCAAGGGATTCAGTTGCAGCCCATAATTACAAAATCTGAAATGAGACAGAGTTTAGTAGTAAGATCCAGAGTGAGAGTAATGAAGCACTGCAACCACTTACCAACCATTATGAAGGATTCTCCGTTATTCTAAAATTTATAACCAAGAATGCTGTTTTTTTTTCTTAGAATTTAAGCTGTAGTTCAGAGATTAGTTTGCTCAGAGATGTGCTGCACCCCACAGAGAAGGATCCACAGTGGGTGATAGTCATAACGATGCCTCCCAGCTTTGCCTCTAACCCCCCCAGTTATCATAGCATATGCTGCAGGCAACTTCCACTCTTAAACCACTGGCAACAACCACTTGAAAATCTTGTGTAAGACTACAGCATCTCCATGTAGATTAACAATTCAAGGAATTAATCTAATGGGATCTTAGTTAAGTCTGAATTCATTAATATAATTGCTAGGAAATCTGTGTGGTTTGTGTTACTCTTTTTGTTTCTTTTAAAACTGCCCTATGGTGTTTTTAACTTATTTAAACTCAAGATATGACTATTTTCAGCAAGAGTTGAGGTCTCCCAGGATCCAAAAAGGGAGGAATCCATATCCTGACTGGTATTTATGCAAAGCATTAAATACTACTCACCTACGTAATGTTTATAAAGATCACTGTGTTACAGAATTTTTCTTGGAGGTGCAGATGTACCATTTTCTTGGCCATTCTTTGGCAGTGCCTCTGTTTTCCATAGACCAGAAACAGGAGGAGTGGCAATGATAACCTCTGACATTTCCTTGACCTGCAGCAGACACGCAAGCATGACTGACAGAAGGGGAAAGAATTTTTTCCAAAACTAGAAATTACATGGTCAGGGAGAATAGCTCTCTTTTTCATTTCTGTTCAGTGTTTGAAGAGAACAATTTTTTTCCCCATGTGGTATTTATTATACAATACATGATCATTACTATTTGAAAAGTTATTAGTAGAGATAGTGGGCACTGCCCCAACAAAGCTGCCTGCAGGGGAAGGAAGGGTGGAGCTGTGGCCATACCTTTCAGGTAAGATGGTGTGGGGCCACTCTCTGCTGAGCTAGTTTCAAAGGAATTAGCTTCCTTTATATCTGTGTGGACTAATTTCTTCTGCTTCTGGCTCAGGTCTCCCAGAGACAAGTGTACACAATGTAGCTTAAGTTGTTAGCTATTCTGTTCCCCTACTGAAGAACATATAAAATGGGAAGAAAAGTAAATAAATCAAGGTCATACTTAGCAAGTGCTAGTTGGGAGACTTGTATATATTATTCATGATTGAAGGAAAGATACTGGAAGTTAGATATGCATAGTGTAACAATCTTGAGCCTGGCAGAAATAATGGAGACTCCCACTGATTTTGGAGAACTTAATTACATAGAATCACAGAATAGTTGGGATTGGAAAGGACCTTAAGATCACCTAGTTCCAACCCCCCCTGCCTTGGGCAGGGACACCTCACACTAAACCATGCCACCCAAGGCTCTGTCCAACCTGGCCTTGATGGGATGGAGCGTTTACCACTCCTTTGTGCAAACTGTTCCAATGCCTCACCACCTGCACAGTAAAGAACTTCTTCCTTACATCTGCTGTGAACTTCCTTTGTTTAAGTTTGAACCCATTACCCAACAAAGTTGAATTTGGTTCCCCGAAATACTACTTTTATGAAAATGGTGCTTGTTTTCAACAGATTCCTGTAAAATGACCCATGTGCAGCTTTTTGACCTCTTGTTCTGCAGACTGAACTCGAATGGAAGGTCTTTCCTTCTCTGAATACGGCCCCACTTTTTTTTTTTTTTTTTTTTTTTTTTTTTTAAATCTGTAAGGGTAGTGAACACATTTGAAACACATTCACTAAACACATAAACTTTTATGATGCATTTTTCCAGATAAAACATAATTTGTTTCCTAAAGAACTATTTTCAGTATCCAGTAAACCCAACTGTTTGGTTTATGTTTGGGTTTTTTGGTTTTGTTTTGTTATGGGCTTTTTTCCATCTCCGCAGAATGGAGGGACATTGGTAATTGCATTCTGCTTTCTGACTGGTTCTTTTTTTTTGACCTCAAGTTAAGGACAGAATGCAACTGTGTCAGCCCAGTCCAAGCATGTGATACAGTGTGAATTAAAGACTGGATGCCAGCAGTCCACATGTCTTTCCCTTCTGCCTCTTAGTGGCAGAGAGGCTTGGGAGTTGAATCCTCTCTTCCTTACTGATGTCTGAACTTGTGTTCCTGTTCCCCCAGGAAGAGCTGAAGGCACATATTTTAAACCAGCCTGCAACAGGTGTAGGTATAAAGTGTACAGTGCAGCAGGATAATGAGTCACGCTGTCACATACACCCTTTTGCCTACTGGGAAGATGAGTGGTATGCGTGAGAGTGCATATGCCTGCACACGTGGAAAATTCAGCGTCTCTCACTGGCTCAGGGAACAAACACAAAACAGATCATGACCTTGGCTGCCAGTGCCCTTACATTTATGTAGATCATCTGCAGTACCCGTATGCAGGCAACCTTTTCATATGTCCAGACGGAGGAGATTAGAAATGGGCAACTCTACTTTCTGTCTCCTGGATTTATTTTGGAAGTTGTCCACCTGCAGTACTCTGTCACCATCTGGCAAGTTCAGTTTTATTGTGAAGCCATGACTGTGGTAGTGCAATGAATGTCTCGCGGGATGTGTTTTACTTCTGGCCTGATATTAGACAATAGTTTCCCCTGAATGACATGTTATATTTAGAATCACTCTCTCACTGTTCAAACCCTGAGCAATCATTGTTGCAGTTGCTGTCTTTCTGGTGGACAAAAATAAAACTCAGGTGAAATAAATTAACATTTTAAAGACAACTAAAGCTAAGTTCTTCAAAAAGTAGTTATTAAGCCAGTAATCCTTACATGCATAGTATTATTCAAATCAACATGGTGAAATCAGAAGAAAAAATGCAAAAATTTCATAAATAGATAAAAGTAAGCATTCTTGGGAATTAAAATGCATAATTAAGAGATTTATAAATATTCATTAGTGGTACAGTTGATATTCCTTGCTTCAAAATCCTTAACTTGGTGGCACTTGGTCTTCTAGCTTCCATACTAAAATATGGCAACTTACTACAACACTTAGTTGTGAAGGGAAGTATACACTGCATTAAAGGGAAGCATTAAAACCGAGTTAGCCTTCTACTGGTTTTGTAGCAGCTGTATTTTGCTAGCTATTTTTTTTAAACTTATTTTTATCAAATGAGTTAATCTAGTTCGTGCTCCATAAACAGATAACAGTTGCAGTTCTCATGGGATCATCCTGTTCTTTAGTTTTCAAGTTAGCAGAGACAAGGCAACTGCTGCTCATCCACTGTATCTTTTCACATGTTTGGTTTTTGTTTTATTTTTTAAGTGGATAGTGGATGTTTCAAAAAATAAGCTATTTGAAAAATAAGCTAAAGTGAAATTGATAGGTATGATAGTATGTGAATTGCTCTAAATGCTGGTATTTGACATTTCTGTCTCTAAATCCTAGTTAAGGATTGAAAATTTAGTGATACACACTCAAGGCTCTGGTTTTCATATGTAGTGAAGATACCCAAAAGAAGCAGCAGCAGTGGAATTGTATGAGAATCCTGAAACTGTCACTACGCTGGATTTAAAAAAATTCTGTTAATCCTGCACTAACCTCAGCTCTCACAACATGCAAAAGAACTAAATCAAAGCAGAAAAAATAGTTTCAAGTAAGAGGTACCCTATGTCCAAGATAATACAGGGTAGTGTTTGCTAAAACATATTTCAAAATATGTTTGGTTTTTAGAAATATATTTAATTACACTAAGAAAAATACATACTTAGCATACTTAAGAAAATACGTCCCATCCTTTCAGTTTTCTGTTTCATTTTGGTTATTCCATGCTGAATTGCTGTGCAATGTCTTCAGAAAGGGCATTGACAGTTTAGTACTGATTATTATATAGTGGTCTAGTAATTTACT